CTAATAACAAGAACCACTACTGCTGCTAATTCTACACATTTACTGAGGCTTTATTATGTGGCAGGCACTGTGCTAAGCACTCTCACAGATTTCAACATCTAATCCCTGCAACAACATTCTGATATTCATTAATAAAGTATCAGAACTTAAAAGAATAGAAAGGATAGAAATTTAAATTTTACAAAGGAAAATACAAACAAATTATTAAAGAAACCTTCTCGTTTCCTCTATCTTTCAGATTACATCCATATGAGTATTAAATTTACATTGAGATCACATTTATTTTCAGGAATCTGTCTTCCATTTAGAAAATACTAAGATTCAAGATGTTGACAATTACTACAAAATAATTTTTATATAACCTCTAAACTTAAATGTGGGCACTGAATAACTGGCCCCATTCAAAGAAAAGAGAACAGCATATGTATCAGGCCCTACAATAATAAGCTCCTGAAGTGTTAGTAATCTGTATGCTGTAATTATAAAGTGATCTATAGCAGCGCAGACAAAAAAATTTACAATTGCTAAGCTGAGTTTTAAATATATAAACACAAACATACATACACATGTATCAGTTATTTTACATGTAAATCTTAAAGTAGCTGATAAAAAAAACCAAACTAATCCAAGGTAAACTAAAACACTAGGGTGTTTCTGAAAACTCACTTTAAAATATCAGCACCATGATAATCATAATATTAGCAATCAAATTGTACTTAGCAGAAAGTTCTTAGAGGCTTGGGAAGCTGTTTGTATAAAATGGAGTAGACAAGAGGGAAGGGTTCTCTGTGCTGTTTAAATCAACTACAGGTCCCAGCATGCAATGCTCTAATCCGGAGTGAAGCAAAAACCCGAAATGCATCCTGGGACTTGTAGTAAGTAAACCACTTCACCCTATCACAGTAAGTTTTAAGAAAGTCTGAACTATCTAAGCACAATTTACTAGATCTTACTATCAGGGCCTAGTGAAATTCAGATCTAACTTGTCTGCTCTCTGCTCTGGCAGTTTCTTTAGCACGTATTGGAAAAAGTATCAATGAATATTTACATCAACATTTTCACACTAGAAAAACCTTAAACAGGCTAAGCATACAAAAGAAATGTTTAAAAAGCAAAAAGATTTTATACAATTTTTAAATTATTTTTAAAAACATCAGTTTTAAAGCCATTTTTTAAAAGGTCTGGTTGATCAAAGTTCTCTATTCCCCTCCCCCAAGAAAGTTTTAATTGTTTTATCAGGTTTTCTCTTAACAGTCTTTCAAGTTATATTCTATAAATAATTTTTCTTGCAGAAAATTCTCATTCAAAAACATTTCCCATACTCTAATAATGTCCACTAGGAAAAATACTCTTATTGTAAGAGGGACACATAACACCATCACACACACAAAAACAATAATACTTAAGTTTCTCTTTTGTCAAGCTCTTACTCAATACCTGTGCCCTCCTCTCCTAACCCCTCATTTCACACACACACACACACACACACACACACACACACACACACGTTTCCAGAAAGAACACTTAGGAAAAAAAATATTCCCACTCCAGACTCTTTTCTCTCATCCACTGACCTCTTCTAAAAAAAAATTTTTTTTTTAATTATCAATAACATGTCCAAATAGATAACTTTGAGCTGTTATTTATGTATATACAGTTTCTACACACACCCCTATTTTCTGCAAGACTGAGGAAGGAGGCTGGGAAAGAACTAAGTGCAATCTGCATCAGGAGGCCTAACACAGGTGGCGGGTTATTTTCAGGCAACAGCACCTTCACAAACATGCTGTGGAATACAGTCCAAGAAATTCCTAACAAGGAAAGGTAAGCTGGCACACAAATTTAACACAATCCAGCTAAAAATCACCTGCAACACGTTACTACATTTCCCCATAAAAGTGACAGGGTCCTACAGGATCTGAAGCTTCATCAATACAACATACTGGCCATTAAGGCCAGATAGCAGTTGCCATGGTTACTATCACCCACTTTTATCAGGAAATTATTGTCATTACTCGGAAGTTTTTGGTACTTATTTAAAATCTGAAAAAAAAAAAACCAGTCTAGGGTTTGACCGTTAATTGAGTGAAAGAATCAACTACTGTTTGATTTGTAAGTATGCTGCTTCAGAGACGCACATGGTTAACAATACTTGGATCTGCAGCAGAAAAAAATCAATTCCTTTCTGCTGCTCCTTCTCCTCAAGTACTGACAGTTTGTATCCTCAATGCAGCCAAAACAATAAAACAAAACCCATCTTTTTGGCTTCTGTGTTTAAGTTATTTTTTGTTCCCTAGGCCCACAAACAGAGTCAAAATAAAGCCTAGATCACCAACCTGTTAGGCCCCATCCCCTTCCTATCTCCGTACTACCGGTTCACTTTTTTGTCTATTTAAAAAACCAGAAAACATTTCCATGGATGATTCCAAAATATAGATAAGAATAGTTTCCTTCAACAGAGACCTGCGCACTATTTTTTTTTTTTTTAAAACAGGGGGAGGCCTTGCATTGTATTGGAGGGAGAGAAGTGGAGGGGTATTCAAACTGCCACACAAGTGTCTAGTGTGAGAAAGTTGCTGTAGAAAACCCAAAGGTTGACCAAACCTCACATATTATCTCTAAATGTGGTGGAAGAGTTCATCACCACCTCAGTCTAACACTGAACAGACAAGTAATATAAAAGTTACCCTTAAAAGTCCGCTTCAACATTCTCACAAAAAATAACTCCAGAAATTTTATACACAAGAATTATAGGAAAGCCTACAAAATAGCACAGCCACATGTACATACAAACAAGAAAACATATGCTATTTAAAAAGTAATTATCTAGAACAAATTTAAAGTGGTGTTAGAGTATTACCTCCTTAAAAAGAAAAAATCTCAAAGCATCAAAAATACACACCTGGTAAAGTTAAAGTGATCAAAATATATTGCTGTGCACCTAAAGAATACTCAGGGCCTACAAAAAAGCCCATGTACAAAAGTTCCTGAGAAGTCAACAAAAATCATGAATATTTCCCAACACAAATTAACAGGAAGATTCAAACATATTTCAAGAAATCAGGTCTGAATATACATATAAAGGAATTCTGTCAAAGGTTAGAGACCTAGAACTTTAATCCCTTTCTTTTCTCCCTTTGAACAGCCATTAAATACAAAAGTTTTCAGCAATAAAATACCAAGAATACAAAATTTAAAAGCACATTACTATAACCTTAACTTCCGTATTTCCTCAAAAAAAAAAACAAGAAAAACCCCAAACCAACTTTATTATTCAGTGTCCGTAGGATGAAAAAGTCAATACTACCCTGAGAGGTTTCATTTTTATTTAAACAGTTAAATGTTTTTCTCACTTCACAAAGAAACAAGTTTCTATATTTAATTTCCAATTAAAGGGGCTATTTCATTAAGAGTAGTAGCTTCTAAAATATAAAACCAGACCTTTTGATATGCTCATAAACACAGGGACTCCCAATTATCTATATTTTATTTTAGTCCAAATTTGTGAGCAGAGTCTATTTAAAAAGCCACAAATCAAGGCTCTGAGTTTTAAACTTTGGGTTATTTTTACACAAAAATATTTCGGTGCACTCCTCTAGATTTGAATAGTCATTTCCTCATGCAACCCTCTAAAAGAGAAAAACAAAATGATATACATATGTACCTAATACTAATACATACAGATATAAATCTTTTTCACTTTGAAACAAGCTTGAAAGCTTTACTTAGTAAGAATTTTTCAGAAAGTTAGCAGAATCACTCAAAACATTCAAAACCTTAACTGTGACATCTGTTACTCTGTGTGTTAATGAGAGTCTATAGAAGAATCCAGGAACTTAAATATTCACTAAAATCAACTACTATCACATCAATGAAGAAATGAAGAAAAATTTTAATGGGGGATACACATTCACAGGATCTACAAAAAGAAAAATGATCTTTTTTTTGAATTATGAGAAACTGCCTCCACAGCATTTTTTAAACAAAGCTTCAAAACTGTAACAAAGAGCTTTTTGGTAACCACAGTAGCATTTAAAAAAAAATTTATAAAGTGTTGGGGGTACACTTTTAATGTGCTCATTTCCCAAATGATGTGAAGAACGTTAACATTTTAAAGACAGAAATTTTTGTCCATGTATTAATTAGTTACCTATCTCAACATTTGCATGGCTTCCAACAATTTACAAAGAACTTTCACATGTATTATCTCATTTGATCTTACTGAGAAAAAAGTACAGTATTATGCCTAGAAAACCGACAAAATTCAAAGCAGCTTCATCAAACTTTCTACACATTCCTAAGTTTCTAAAACTTTGATACAAAACTTTACAAGCCACCAAAGTAGCATGATATTCCCAGAGATCAATCAATTCACCTAACACTAACATAGTTTCAAAGGAGCATGTGTTGTAAATGCTATGAAACTACTTTCATCTTTATGCAGTTATTGTTAAGTGTTACTAACGGACATATCAGGAATGACTTATACTCACAGATACAACTTTACTTACAGTTCAAGAATCTCAGTCTTTGGAGGCCAACTCAAATACATCAACCATACGTATTTATAAAGCTAAGTGCCTAAGAATTTACCTATTAGGATCACTGTCCATAGATGTGAGGAAAAAAACACAAGAAATTAAATTTTTTTCCATACAGTATCTCCCTTTCCAAAATCTCATATCTCTGTATCCTATCTGTATTAATATTATAGGAATAACACAAAACCTAAAGCCCCATCATACCAACTTCTTTTGTTTACAGTCCTTGGACATAATCTTTTCACATTTGCACATTCACACCCCACTCACCAATACAAGACTAATTCCTCATCAAAATAAAATAATTCTAACAGCACTCTGTACCTAAGCGTGGCATTCTTAAGCTATCCACAATAACAAATCTACTTTGTGTAATATTGTAAGCAGGTAAAAAGCAATCAAAGATTTCAGTTGCAAATAGCAAATGTAATTTATTAATGGACTTTTAAATGGACTTACTCAAAATCTTTCTGGAACTTTAAGGCGTTAATCCTGTTGCTTAGTTGAAGCTAACAGAGCTGTAATAAGTAGTAAGACCCTCAAAATTCAAGAGATTTGCTTTATCTTGATGTAGCACCTCCTGCTGGATAGCATTTAGAGTTCTTCATGCAAACAGAAGAAGAGTATTTCTGAGGCAGCTCCTTCCAGATGACTGAATGGGAAAAACGATGGACCCTTCAAAGCTAAAAGAAATAGGGCCCCATCCATCACTTATACCTCTTAAAAAGAAAATCTGGTGTGGGTAGGAGTCTTTTAAAATCTATTATTATTCTGGTTCCATAAGACCTGCCTGAGTCCAAAGTGCAACATGCTTAAATAAAGCTTGCAAAATTATCTAAAAACTACCTTAAAAAGCCTTCAAAAGCACTCAAGCAAAAGACTTTATTGCGGCCAGCCAAGCAATGCTAGTCATATTGCAAATACCATTATGTTAACAAAAGCAAAAGTCTGACATAAAGAAAAACACCTGGAATATTTTTAACATATTAGCCAGAAGTTTGTGTTTTGAGAATTTTCTGCACTATTACTATGCTCCTTTTAAGAACAGTTGTCCATCTACAGAAGTTTTAAGTACAGAAATTTTTTGATAAACAAGAGTATTACTGCACACAAAAATTTCCTCTATGCCATCAAGTATGTCCTGATATTTTAAAATGTATTTTTCAGACATTTTAAATAACCCCTAATAGGCTAGTTTTAAGCCCACAATGTAGATTCCATATACAAGTGAAGATAGAGAAAAAGTATAGAAAGGAACTTACCAAAATCAAAATGATAATAGTACTTCCAGTAAAAATGTAGTAACAGTTTCCTATAATGCTGTGAAACCAAGTAAATCGTGAAACTTAAAAAAAAGGGGGGGGGAAGGGGCTACTCTTCAAAAACCAAAAGAAAAACTTACCTATTTATTTCTAGTGCCCAAATGTGATAAACACCAGATGTAAACAAACAACATAAGCACTGAAAAGTACACTTAGATGTCTTAGCCCCAATTTCAGTCCCCTTACCAGGCCCTGAGTGAAGCCAGAGATGTTGATGAGTATCCTCTCTAAAAGGAGATATTCTAGCTCCCTGCCCTAAAGAACCCCTATAAAGTGTGCCTATGTAAAGGCTTCCTTCCTAGAGTGCAGAGCTGCTTTTGGGGAAAAAAAAAAAAAAAAACTTTCATCAACCCAAATTAATCTGATTCTAATATTCAGCTATCAATTATTAATACAGGAATGTTCTCTCTTTAATGTCCCCAGCTTCAGCATCTACATTCCTGACACCTACTATTAACAAAAAATGCACAGCTCGCACCCCAGCTATGGGGCAAATCTCTGAAATCCAAAACACTGCCACAAAGTTCACTGTCAAGGCCAATGCTGAGGCCCACACACGCCCGGACCTTAACTCACATTTGAAATTCTAGAAAGCCACACTTGCAGACATCATTTAAAAACAACAAAATGTGGACGTGCAGAGTGAGGTCCTCTACTTCAAGACCTAAACAAAGAATATTTCAACATATGCCCCGAATATGATGACACCAGATTCACCAATGAAAACAAAACCTGCCTACCATTAGCAGTCGTACCTTCATCTCAACAACTCAACTACTTAGAAATCACTCTCAGCACATCTGCACCCTACAACCGGCGTGTGGCCTTCTCCGGGGGTGCAAGCCACAGACAAAGTTGAAACGAGACATTCTTCCCCCGGTGCCCAATCTCGGTATCAACCCCTCCCCTACCAGGGCCACCTTGCTGCTACCCACCATCGCGAACGTGGTCAGGGGGAAAAAAGAAATCCTAACAGCACCGCTCAGCAGAATAAAGAGACCAAAGAGAGGATGACGAGAAGTGTTGGGAACTGCGTGCACGACGGGGCTGGACCAAACGGAAAGAGTCCCACTCCGCGCGCCCCTCCCCCCGGCGGGGGCGCGGGCGGGGGAGGGGCGGCCGCGGCCCCTCTCCGAGCGGCCTGCCGGCCTCGGCCCGCGCGGGGTCCCGGGGGCGCCCCGCGGCCGCGGGCGGCGGGGGCGAGTGCGGGAGGGCCGGGCCCGGGGTGAGGGGTGCAGGCAGACTCTCCGGAATAACAAGTTGCAGAAGAAGAAGAATAAGCGGAATTTCCCCAAGGCTGCTCCGGCCACCCAAGACAAATGCACCAACACACACATACACACACACACACACACACTCGGGCCCGGCAGCGTCAGCAGCCGCAGCTTTTTTTTTTTTTTTTAACCAGATCCCTCAGTCACCAAACAAGATGGTTTTCCCAAAAAAAAAAAAAAAAAAATTAATTAATTAAATAATCATAATAAAAACTTCCCCCCGACAGCATCCCGAGGGGGGGGCAGGGTGGTGAAGGAGCCGAGGCGACCACCCCCGGGCTGAGGGACAGCCGAGGGGGCGGACGAGGCTCCGCGCCCCCCGCCCCCGCCGGCGGCCCCCTCCCCGGCCCCCCGCCGGGACAATGTGACGCCCCCTCCCCGCCACCCCCGGCGCGCCGCCTCTGTCACCCGCTTCGGCCCTGCACTCAGCGCCCAGGCTCCCGAGGCTGCTCATAAACTTACTTCCAATTTATCCTGGGGAGGGGTGGAGGGCAGAGGGAAGGAAGGGGGAGACAAGGTTTTTCCATTGTCTTTTTTTTAGGGGGGGAGGAATAGGAAGGGCACGCAGGGGGGCGCCCCGAAGGGGAAGTTCCTGCTCAAATCTCAAGTTGACTGAGGGGTCCTGACGAGAACACCCCCCCTTTCCCTCCTCCCTCCCACACACCCCTCCCCTCCCCCTCCCTCCCCCCCACAACAAACTCCAAGCAGGCAGCCCCAGTTCCTCCCAGAGACAAACACCAGAGACAAGACAGAGAGACAGGGAGAGGGGGAGAGGGGGAAGGGGGGAGGGAGGGGAAATAGAGCTACTCAAGAAAAAAAGAGAGGAGAGTGAGGAGAAGAGAGAATGGAAAAGCTGGGATACTGCACCCTCCTGCTGCTGGCTGGTTGTCCCCCCTGGCAGCTGGAGGCAGGAACTCTGAGCAGGAGAAGCAGGAGGAGGAGGAGGAGGGAACTCTTCTTCATGGGGAGGGAGGGAAGAAGCTGGAGCTGCTGCTGCTGCTTCTGCTGCTGCTCTGGGCCTCTCGCACTTTTTAGATATTAGTGTGTTAAGATGGTAGGTTGTTCCCTTCTCCCTCCTCCTCCTCCTCCTCTCCTCTCCTCTTCTCTCCCTCTCTCTCTCTCACTCACTCACTCTCTCTCTCTGGGCTGTTTCTTTCCTCCTCTTCCCCAGGCAAGGGGGGGTGGGGAGGAGGGGGTGGGGGGAGGAACTGGATCCTCCTCCTCCTCCAGGAGAGACACACACAGGCCCCGGGCCGGAATAGGGGTGGGGGGGAATCAGAGCAGCAGGAGAGAAACTGTGGGAGACAAACAAGCCCAACTCTTCATCCTCCTCCTCCTCCTCTCAGCAGCAGCAGCGAGCACCACCAGCCCATTCACCACCCGGCCCCGGGCCGCAGCACCTCCGCCGCCTCAGCCCGGGGATCCCTCCGCCCAGGCCCAGACACACTCGCCCGCGCGGGAGCCCGCCGCGCGGCCCCGCCGGCCCGCCGCCGCCGCCGCCGTGCGCGCCCCCGCCGCTCCCGAGAGCCGGGCGAGAGGGACTGGGGCTGGGAAAGCGGGGACGAGGGCGGGGGGGGGGGGTGGAGAGGAGGCGCCGGGGTAGAGGGGCACGGCGGGGAGGGAGGGGGCCGCCGGGCGGAGTTGTACGGCGGCCGGCCCGGGCCCCCTCGCCTCCGCCGGCGGCTCCCGGGCCGCACGGGCCCCCCCCCGGGGGCGGCGGGGCGGCGGCGGGGGGGGGCGGCGGGGGCCCGCGGCGGCGCTCGGGCGGGCGGACTACTTGACGTGTCGGTGCGGCGAATTTATTTCACTTTGCCTAAGGAACGGGGTGTGCTGCGGCCCCCATTGCCTAGGGAAAAAACCCGGATGTAAAGTGAGTGAAACTAAACTAGAGTGAAGTAGGGCAGCAGCAGCCAAACTCCAGTGCAGCGGCGGCGGCGGCGGCGGCGGTGGTGATGGGGCTGAGCACCGAGCGGCGGCGGCCAAACTCCGGGGCCGCCGCAATGATGGGCCCGTGCAGCGCCGCAGCTCGGCTCCCGTGTAGCTGCAGCCGAGGCGAGGCTGGAGCCCGCTGCGGCCCCCCCAACTCCGCGGCCCGAGCCCAACTCCCCCCTCCCGCCGGCAGGAGCTGCAAAGGGGCTCCGGAGCGGCCCCAACTCCCTCCAGTGCAACAGCAGTTTTAAGGGGGGAAAAAAAAAGCCGCGAGGGCAGGAGCGGAGAGAAGCAATGGGGAAGCACTGCAATGGGGGAGCGTGGTCCAGGCAACAGGAGAAAGATGCAACCTCAAGTCGAATGCAACATGCAATCCCCGGCCGCCGCTAGCCCGCTCCCTCCCCTCACTACCCCGCCCCCTTTCCAAATAACTACCCTTGAACCACTTTATTAGCCACACTTAGTCCCACACTCGCGTCGGGGAGGGGCGGGGGACAGGGTCCTTCCCTCACCTTTATTTATTGCTTTCTCCCCCCTCTCCATGTTTTTTATTCCTAAGTTCTTTTGTTCTAAGGGGGATGATGGCATTTACTTTTCTGCTTTGTGTAGCAGGGCAATCACTGGGAATCGGCCACGTATAATCCGGCGGTTTGTCATATTTTATTAGTGAAAGTATTTTATGCCTATTCTACCTCCAAGGACTGTAACATGGAGAACTGCAGGGAGGAAAAAAAAAATATCAGAGGAATTCTTGTTTTGAGAGATTTCTTGGCGGGGAGGGGAGGGCCCTTTTTTTTTTGGAGGGGGTTTATTTAGATTTTCAAATCGATAGTTTTCAACTTAAAGCTTAATGTTTTTGTATGGATATACTACTAGATTCTAAAATAACCCCCAACCGCAATAAAGAAAAAAAAAGTCCAAAATTCTAGATTAAAGAAAAAAAATCCCTACTGGACAGTGATATTATCTGTTCTGTGCAGCACGCTGGACTTAACATAGTGTTGGCCTTCGAATGTTAAATAACAATAAACCCCAACCTCAACTGAATACAAATGGGGGGTGGGGGTGGTTTTGTTTTTAAGGCTCAGCACTTTTGTAGCATCTGCCACTACGCATTTTCCAGGCATTGATTAGCCATGCAACTCCCATAGGCATGAAGTCCAGTTTTTGCAGATAAAGAGCAACAGTGGTGAGATGATTTGCCCAAAGTCAAAGTGAGTCATTGACAGAACCAGAAATAGCCTTAAACTCTTATTTGTTACTAGTCACATCTTTCCCATTAAATAGTATTTCCTCCAAGAAATAAACAGTATTTAAAAATAAATAGACGTTCTTTACTTTGTTACGTATTTCCACCAGAGGTACTTTGAGATCCTCAGATACAAAGGTGTTTTCTTACTTCTGTGACCTGCAAAATTAAGTTTAGTTTCTCAAGAAAAAGAAATTCTTAGAAATTCTGATTTCTTAAAGCTAAAAAAAGTATGGGCTTTATTTTACATGCATAGTCCATTTAGTACTCTGAGCTTTATATTAAAAAAAATTTCACAGCAGAGAAAGTGTGTAAGAGTTTGAGAGCGAAAATGAAAATCCCTATAAATGATTCAAGAAGCCTGGATGAACTTATAATGTTGTGAAACTGAACCCATAACACAGTCAAGATGAATAACGGAAGGACAGGTTGGGTAGTAAGACCCAGCTTTGCCACCTAGAGATAACGCTAATGTATGTAAGAGATGAATTAAGGCAGGGCCTTTCAAACTGGACCAACTAGGAACTGGAACCACAACCTAATAAGGTCATTTCAAATCAGCCCAGGCTGTCAAAATTTTTTCAGAGCAAGACTGCTTTAGTGTTCTTTCTGGAAAAAAAAACTTAAAAATGTTTCAGAATTTCATAGAAAAAAAATCAGAAACTCAAATTGTGCCTGAGCATGTAAATGCTATAGAAGAGGAGTCAGTAAATTTTTTTCTGTAAAAGCCCAGATACTAAATATCTTAGACATTGTAGACCATAGAGTCTCCATGGTAGTCACAACTTCTCAACTCTACGTAGTTGTAGCACAAAAACAGCCATAGAAAATATGTAAACATATGATCCTGGCTGTGCTCTAATAAAGCTTTTATTTATGGGCCTTGACATTTGAATTTCATCTACTTTTCTTGTGTCACAAAATATTATTTTAATTTTTTCAACCATTAAAGAGAAAAGTGAAAGCATTTTTAGCTTGTGGGCTAAACCAGGGGGTGAGCAGGATTGGGCCCATGGGCTATGGCTTACCAACCCTGGCTTTAGAAGACTCAAGTTGACAAACATTAAGATGTTTGTGTGTCAATCAAACATGAATGTCATGCAAAATCGCATTTTAGATATTTACATTTAATTAAAATACTCTAATTTTCTTCACACTTCTATAGCTATCAAACTCTATGGAAAAGAATAGCTGTGATTCATTAATAGATATTTCCATTTACATTCTCTTTCCAACTCTAAGATGCTGAGGAGGAGTGGAACCAAACCAAACCGACCCACATTCTGACACCTGAGTAGTACCACTCCTTTTCAACTAAGACACCTTGGACAAGCTACTTAACCTCTCAAAGCTTCAGTTTTCCTATGCTGTAAAATGCAGCTATTAATATTTATTTGTAGGGCTGTCAAGAAGATTGAATAAAATAATTCATGTCAAGTGCTTAGTACAGTGCCTGGTACATGGGACTATA